CTAGGCAAGTCTGACCACGGGACATACAGTGTACTGCTAACAGTTTAACACCGATTCATTATACATAATGCTTTAATACCAACCATTATTCGCAAGAAAATGTTTAATTTTCCAAGCAATATTCTTCAAAATATGGATGTTTTGCGTCACATTACATTTTCTTCTCTCCGATCTTACAGGGGATTAGCAATGCTAGTGTCTGTATTCATATTAAGAACTGATAAGAAGTTTAACATAGCTATGATGGTGGTGCTCTCAATTTACTGATTTCGGGGCATACTGTAAAAAATATTAATTTTCGTTGGGATTTATTTTTGTTGATTTTGTGATGAGATTAACGAACAAATTTGTCCATGAACTGTTGAAATAAGTGTAAGTACAGTTATTGAGCTTTATTTGGCCATGAGATCGAGTGTCGGTGACAAATGGTTACATGTTGTAAACACACAAAAATTGAGCCCCACTAATATACATGATTAACAGAAGTAAATGTTATTAACATTACATTATGAATGTAATTTTATGTTCAAGGAAAATTAAACGGAGGACAGGATCTGAAGATATGCGAATGGAAAATCGCCCCAGTCAACTTAAATATCTTATACCTACATAGGACATGAAAAATGGATGGCTACTTAAATCACGTTCGTAATACACATCTTTATTTACATCGAGGACATTTCATTTACTAGGTTCCTTTCTGCGTTACCTTCTACAAATATCAATTTTAAGATATGTCTGAATAAAATTCTACAGCTCCATCGGAAGCTACACATAACTATTAAACAAGAACAACTAAAGACTAGAGATAAATAGAAACAACTTTAAAAATCATTACCTACCATGACATTTGATATTTTCAAATGTATGGAATTGTTTAATTGTTGTGCTTGTCCTGTGTTAGTATTTCAATCGTTCTGTTACAGTACCATATTAATTAAAGGTATAAACAGCACAAACGGAACCATTGCCGTCCTTTTACTCAACTCATATTCAATTTGATTTCCGGACGGAGTTTTGGAGAAAGGACTTTTGACCAAATGAAGGTCATTGGGTCATTACCTTTACTACCAGTGGACAAAACACTCAACACGTTTCTTTTGTAGCTTTTTGTAAATGTGATTTTTATTTGCGAACGTGACATTACATTTATTTGTATCAAAAGATATCTTAATGGTGAAACCGTCAATGAAGCATAAAAAATTGTCCCTTCCGAAACATCTGGTCTAACTCTGCTTATTTTTCGTTAATCTTTATGTAAGTATTTTTTGTTCATATTTTGCCCTCGGTTTTAATATTGAAGTGAGATTTACTGACTTGTTTACTTTTTCTATATAAGCTCTCACCACTTAATTCAATTTTAAGCATTTAGACTATTTACAAAATATATGACTTAATGTTGAGTTTTTAAAAAAAAAACCATATATACACACTTGTATCATCTGGTATATCATTTTGCAAAGGAGAGTTTTTAAAAAGATAGAAGTTTAAGAATAACATGGGTACCAGTGTATAGACATTCTGAAATTTAATCTCCGTAACACAAACTGGGCCAACCGTGAAATTTTAGCCCCTCAAAATTAATACAGTGGTACAAAAGTGTAAATTGTTTTCTATCATAATCATTATATATTAATCATTAGTGGCCATTTGAATATCTCTATCAACTATGTCATTTTTGAGTCGAAGGGACAATTTTTTAATTAAGTTTTTAAATAATTTTTAATATATCAAGATTTTTTGTGGGACACATGTCCAAATTCATCTAGTAAGGAAGGTTGCCTCTATACCAGTCATTCCTTAAACCGAAAATGCTGATTTGATCATATCTTAATTATTTTCATGACTATGTGTATGTTAATTATATGTCGTGCAATACTGGAACCTCGTTTACCAGACGAATAAGTGGAATGGTAAAAACCTTTCTCTCATTTCCACCTGTGTCAGATAGGCCTATACAGGGCAATAAACATGGTCATGATAGACGTTTATTACACAGGCGCCTGTGTAATAAAGCCTCGCGCGCGGAGTAATTCATAGTTTTTTAACGCGCACTCATCGACTATGTCCTCGTCAACCGCTTCATCCACAAACACGCATAGTCGATTGGAGTCATTGTTTGCAGGCTCTTATTAACAAAACTGTTCTATAAATATCAATATCACCAACCCTGGGACTCAGCCTTTCCGCCGTCGTCCACGTGTGATTGAAAGTGACAGTGACTAACTTTCCTCCTGTCTGTGTGGCGCGAAATGTGTGACGTAAGTGACGTCATCTCACAAGCAAACCAAGAATTCCATTCATAAATGTGTAAGATTTGTAAGATTACTATTGACAGTGAAGTAGTATTAATAACTTGACCAACATGTTCAAAGATGTAAAAAGTGTTTATGATATATTATACATTGAGCAATAGTAAATATTAAAAAGAAAAGTGTTGTTTTATTGCGTGTTTTAAGGCACTATATTTGAACGCGTACGCATGTCTCTGGGTGATATATTTGACAGGGTATTTGACCCAGCCCGCTTGAAGAAAAAACAGTTAAACACTGACGTTGGATGTTTACATTCAAAGTCCATATTATGTTTTCGACCGCAAACATAGTTTGCAAAATTCGGGGATGGAGAATCTATTTCAGCATTTTTTTTATGTATATGGCCCAAGGAAAAAAATAGAAATCTGAAAAATGGCGGCGTCCAGTGATGGTTACCGCGAGGTGAGTGCACATATTTGATAATATGAGATTAGAAATGAGAGAAAAAAACTCTTTTCTATATGGGTATGTAGGATAGGGATATTCCACCCTCGGGATCACAAAATATGGTAAAAACCCTCGGCAAGCCTCGGGTTTTACCACATTTTGTGACCCCTCGGGTGGAATATCCCTATCCTCGGGATCACAAAATATGGTAAAAACCATCGGCAAGCCTCGGGTTTTACCACATTTTGTGACCCCTCGGGTGGAATATCCCTATCCTACATACCCATATAGAAAAGAGTCTTATATTCCGTCATGTGCCAGGGAACATGAGTGACATAAAATCAACAATCTGATATGGATATGATCAACTTCATAACGTTAAATGTTGTCATGCGTTGCTATGTACAGGCAGTGACTACATAAAAGCTTCTGTTATATCGTACATGTGATAGAAATTCATATTGCGTGGTTTTCCGAATAGATGTGACTTCGGGAAAGTCATTATCCGAGATCAGAAAACTGTAAATACAAAATATTGCTTCATTCAATATAACTAGTACATATAGTGATATATTTCTGTAAAATCATGAAGCTGGTTTAAAATAATAAAAATTCCTTGGAGGATTTTTTTGGCTGAATAATTCTAAAGAAATACACATATTTTGTAAATGTATATATATTTAGCAGTTATCATATGATTCGCATTGCAATAACATATGATTGCGCTGATTTCGTTTCTGTCTATGGCTTTTATAAAGCATCTATGTACCAATTTATCATTTAGCTAATTTCCCGAAATGTATTAATGCACTCAAATTTAATTGCGCTAAATTCAGTACGTTTACAATACTAAACGTTCATGTCATACCTTTACCTGTTTATCGATATAAGTGATTATTTAAGTATATAAACATTAATTTTATCAAACTTTTACAATGACTGTAATTTTCTCAATAAACCAATCACCAGTCTTTCATTCCATTTTGCATATACATTTCTTTTTACTTTCTCCATGTTATTTACATTGTATATCTACATAAATCAACAACGTCAATGACGTTCTAACTGTTATGTTTTTCCTCTTTTCATCAATTGGGGAATAGTATGTGAACAGTATAATTTTAATTGAAACATCAATACTTAAAATGGCTTGGACTAGATAAAATTTAAGAGGAATGTCGGAATATGAGGTAGAACGTCAAATGAGTGATTTGGCAATGCAGCATCTGGAATCCCTCTCATTAATTGGCAGCTCCATATTATCTTCTTGTTAGAATAGTATCGTTCTTTGATGTGCGCTATCATATGTTAACATAAGGTGACGGAGCTGAAATGAAATATACATATGAAAAATGATTCCTCTGTGTACAAAAGAATGAAACATAATTAAACATTTGTAAACAGTTAACATTCGTTCAATAAATACGTAAATTTAAATTAAAACATAAAAAGAATCCGTTTTGGTAGCAATGGATTAATAATTTTCAAATTTTGCTTTATAAATAATTACTATGACATCGACTTAAGTTATCATTGAAGTGAAGATTAGATTTAAGTCCCTGGTAAACGTGACTAGAACTTATTTTACCAAAAGAAAATAAAAATGGAAATTAAACATATTAATAAAAAATATACTTAAGAGGGTATCAATTAATTAATGCACATTCATTACGTTCTTACCGATATAACAGAATCTGAAATGGCCGTCAAGTTGTTCATATTGCTAATTTGAGTTAACGACAGTAAGCCGACATGAACAAAATTAAGATAAGATAAAACGGAAAACGCTTATAATATAAGTTAATGATACCAGACTGATTTTGTTTGTTTTTTTATTTTCGTTTTTGTTTTTGCTTTTTTTTTTTATTTATTTATTTATTTTGCAGGCGGGGAGGGGGTTATCGCCTACAATGTTTAAAATATTTTTTTCGCCAGCGAGTTATTTGAAAAACAAACCAATTATAAATACGTATTTGCGTTGATTTTACATGACTTTTAAAAGAGATTTTCAAAAGGATTTTGTCATATCATGAAAACATATCAAGTTACGTATACAGGGGATCTAATAAAATATTTCTCTCATATCTATACATTCAACGAGTGTACTAGTTATCATAAAAGATATCAGATAAAAAGAACTTTTATTGATTTGCTATAAAGTACTAATGAGGTTTGAAATAAACATTCACACGTTATTAGGTCTGGTCAAATAAAAGATTATCAAAGTGGAATGTGTCTATTTTTTGTCATGAAATTAAGAAATGCTGGTACAATGATAAACAGTTTGAAAATACATACCCTCATCCTGTATTTGTAGGTAGTCATGTGTGTCGGCTGAATCATCCTGAACTGACCTATGGTCAAATATGAACATGCTTAGCATGACACGTGACAATTCTATATCAACATTTTACAATGAGTCATTAATCATGACCTTATTTGGAGAAATCATTTTATAGATAAAGACCTTATTTGGAGAATTCCTTGTAAAGATCAAGACTTTATTGGGAGAATTCATTTTGTTTCGGATTAAGAAATATGGAGTAAGCACAGGGGTTTCTACATTTGTTCCCTGGTGATTTTATGTTCATGTTTGACTACTGACAGCAGGAGTACAGAGAACCAAGGTGACGTAAACCCTAGGAAATCGAGGATGGTTCCGGGGGTACAGAGAACCATGATGACGGTAAACCCTAGGAAATCGAGGATGGTTCCGGGGGTACAGAGAACCATGATGACGGTAAACCCTAGAAAATGGAGGATGGTTTTAGGGGTACAGAGAACCAAGGTGACGGTAAACCCTAGAAAATGGAGGATGGTTTTAGGGGTACAGAGAACCCAGGTGACGGTAAACCCTCGAAAATCGAGGATGGTTCCAGGGGTACAGAGAACCAAGGTGATGGTAACCCCTAGGAAATCGAGGATTCTTCCAGGGGTACAGAGAACCAAGGTGATGGTAACCCCTAGAAAATGGAGGATGGTTTTAGGGGTACAGAGAACCAAGGTGACGGTAAACCCTAGAAAATCGAGGATGGGTTTAGGGGTACAGAGAACCAAGATGACGGTAAACCCTAGAAAATCGAGGATGGTTTTAGAGGTACAGAGAACTAAGGTGATGGTAACCCCTGGAAAATCGAGGATGGTTTTAGGGGTACAGAGAACCAAGGTGACGGTAACCCCTAGAAAATGGAGGATGGTTTTAGGGATGCAGATAACTAAGGTGATGGTATCCCCTGGAAAATGGAGGATGGTTCCAGGGGTACAGAGAACCAAGGTGACGGTAACCCCTAGAAAATCGAGGATGGTTTTAGGGGTACAGAGAACTAAGGTGGTGGTAACCCCTGGAAAATGGAGGATGGTTCCAGGGGTACAGAAAACCAAGGTGATGGTCACCCCTGGAGTATTGAGCGTTGCTTAAGGGGAACAGGGAGTGAAAGTGATCGTAACCCCTGGAGTATCGAGGATGGTTCCAGGGGTACGGAGAACGAAAGTGATCGTAATCCCTGGGGTATTGAGGATGGTTTCAGGGGTACACAGAGCGAAAGTGATTGTAACCTCTAGAGCATTGGGGATAATTCCAGGGGTACAGAGAACGAAAAACGAAACTTCTATGGTTGAGACACAAAAACGGAACCGTTCTCTCACCTGTTTGTTTCAATCATCGCTTCTTTTTTACCTGTGAAAAATTCAAATATGAGCTAGTTAATTTTCTAATTCTAAATTTATATTGGAATATGTTATTCACTTCACTTCATATCAAACAAAGATTACACTTAGACATGTCGTACGTACTTGTGTAAAATTCAGATCATATTTAAATGCGTTCTTTATGCATCATTATGATTCTAAATAAACTCACAAAGAAGACAAGAAGAACATGGAAGACGTCCTATTGAATCGTAACGGACAAACAGACAGACTGAGAATCAATTTTATAAAACTTCCAAAGATATTCCAAATGTTTAAAACAAGAAAACACACGAACAATGTAGACAACAACTTGTCTTACATGAATTGGTAATTTATATTGTCAAGTACTTTTTTTTAATCAGCATTAATTTTGTGATGTACAAGAGGATTTCATACTGCTATATCTACCTTCCGAAAGGCCTGCATACGGAGACGGACGGTTAATGTCTGTCGGATCTAATTCCAGGTAGTTAGACCTAATTAAACATAAATCAAAACATTAAATAATGTTTTAATTTTCTGTCTTAACAATCTTTATTTTAATTTTCTGTCTTAACAATCTTGATATCTCCACGACAAAACGACGAAAGACTATTAAGACAATCCGTAAATTATCAACTCTACGAATATAATATGTTGAACGTTTTGAACAATAACATAAAGAATTGTCTAAATATTCCAAATTTTGTAATATTACTCAATTTTATTCAATTGTAATCTTTACACATCATACCCAATACATTATGACACTCATACCAACCTGTCGTCCTGACTTGTTTGAGGTTTATCTGAATGAAAATGGTAAAATATGTATATACATATAACATGATTCATGTTTAAATCTCATTTCACATACATCTAGTAAATTCAAATATTGTTTAATTCACTGAATCTTAACCAATTAAATGCGCTCATTTCTGTTTTCTCTGTTTCTATAATAATAAGTACTGTTTTCGTTATCTCAATTAGCAAAGCGTGGACAAACTCTTACCTCCGACTGTCTTTGGAACATTGCTGAAAACAACTGGCTTGGGAGGAATATCTTGTTTTTCTGATCTGAAATGATGTTTGATACAAATAAATTTGTCAGGTATCATACTAAACACAATGACGTTTTCCTATTTTTTACATTAAAGAACTCTCGATTATCACTTTATCTACCATAACGCACAAAAACATTGACACATATGAAATACAATGTATCAGGTTACAAGAGAAAAGTTTTATATCCCTCAAATATCATCTTTTAAAAAACTGATACTTACCTGAAACATGATCGAGATTTTCCTAAAATAAAACGTTATACATTCAATGATTTCATCTGAAGGCAAAAAATCACTACAAATCTCCTTTTTATCAATAAAGACGTGATTTCAATCATATCAACCTTTCATCAGCTTCCTCACTTTTTAGTATCAACAATTAAACAACTACCTGCATGAAATGAATTATAAGTACGTAGAATAATAATAGAAATGTTATCTTATTTAATTGTATGTACTTGGATTAATGCTAAAAATAACATCTTATTTTATTAAATGTATTTGGAATAATAATGAAAATATTATCTTATATTATTTTATGTACTTGAAATAATGCTAAAATTATATCTTATACATTTTTATGTATTTGGAATAATGCTAAAAATTATATCTTACATAATTTGATAACTTTGCTGAAATTTCGTTCTACACATAAAACAATAAATTATATATGTAAACATTATTATTGATAAGTATAAAGCTTTGATATGATCCGATTGATTTACTACACTAATACTCTTGATACTTACTGTACAGAAATATCGCAATTCCAAAAACTGCTGCTGCAATCAGGAGAAGGGTCACACCAACTACTAATAAAGCTGTTGAGCCAGCACTGGTATATTCCAACGGAGAACGGCACGTGTCAGCTACAATAGTTATATACATTTAAATTAAAAATTCATCAACAGATTTTTTTATGATATATATACGCTACTTTAAAACAAATGATAATCGTTATTTATTGGACGTTATATGCACTGACGGAACAGCCCGGCAACTAACGGTACAGCCCGACAACTGACGGAACAGCCCGACATCTGACGGAACAGCCCGACAACTGACGGATTAGGAAATTTGCGGGAAAGACTTTCAGACTTGATGTTTACCGAAGTGTAAATAAACATCAATTATGTTGGTAAATAGAAATAAAGAACATACACAAGAAATAGGTAAAAAGAAAATGCATGGCAGAACTGTGCAAGACAATTATGACCTGCGAGATAATCCGATGCCCGATAGTCCGAAGGTTAAATCAATGGCTAATGGCAAGAAAATTGTTTTCATTAAGGATTCATCGGTGAAAAACAAAAGCTAAACGAATGGAATTCCATGAAATGAAACTCCGAATATACTCATCCACAACTCAAAACAAATCCTTCAAACAGAATTTACATTTTACATTCCATATCATTAGTATATCTGAATTTTGTAACCAGTTATCGAAATTCTTCCTTAAATTCATACCAGGCACATATTGTATCAAATGCCTAACTCTAGTACATATTGTATCAAATGCCTAACTCTAGTACATATTGTATCAAATACCTAACTTGAGCATACATTGTTTCAAATACCCAACTCGAGCATACACTGTATCAATTACCTAACTCGAGTACATATTGTATCAAATGCCTAACTCTAGTACAAATTGTATCAAATACCTTACTCGAGCATACATTGTATCAAATGCCTAACTCTAGTACATATTGTATCAAATACCTTACTCGAGCATACATTGTATCAAATGCCTAACTCAAGTACATATTGTATCAATTACCTAACTCGAGTACATATTGTATCAAATGCCTAACTCTAGTACATATTGTATCAAATGCCTAACTCGAGCACACATTGTTTCAAATGCCTAACTCGAGCATACATTGTTTCAAATGCCTAACTCTAATATAAATTGTATCAAATGCCTAACTCAAGTACAAATTGTATCAAATACCTAACTCGAGCATACATTGTTTCAAATGCCTAACTCAAGTACATATTGTATCAATTACCTAACTCGAGTACATATTGTATCAAATGCCTAACTCTAGTACAAATTGTATCAAATACCTAACTCGAGCATACATTGTTTCAAATGCCTAACTCGAGCATTCATTGTTTCAAATGCCTAACTCTAGTATAAATTGTATCAAATGCCTAACTCGAGCATGCATTGTATCAAATGCCTAACTCTAGTACATATTGTATCAAATACCTAACTCTAGTACATATTGTATCAAATGCCTAACTCTAGTACATATTGTATCAAATACCTTACTCGAGCATACATTGTATCAAATGCCTAACTCTAGTACATATTGTATCAAATGCCTAACTCGAATACAAATTGTATCAAATGCCTAACTCTAGTACATATTGTATCAAATGCCTAACTCTAGTACATATTGTATCAAATGCCTAACTCTAGTACATATTGTATCAAATACCTTACTCGAGCATACATTGTATCAAATGCCTAACTCTAGTACATATTGTATCAAATACCTAACTCTATTACATATTGTATCAAATGCCTAACTCGAGCACACATTGTTTCAAATGCCTAACTCGAGCATTCATTGTATCAAATGCCTAACTCTAGTACAAATTGTATCAAATGCCTAACTCGAGCATACATTGTATCAAATACCTAACTCTAGTTCATATTGTATCAAATACCTAACTCTAGCATACATTGTATCAAATGCCTAACTCGAGCATTCATTGTATCAAATGCCTAACTCTAGTACTTCATTGTATCAAATGCCTAACTCTAGTACATATTGTATCAAATGCCTAACTCTAGTACAAATTGTATCAAATGCCTAACTCGAGCATTCATTGTATCAAATACCTAACTCTAGTACATATTGTATCAAATACCTAACTCTAGTACATATTGTATCAAATGCCTAACTCGAGCATACATTGTATCAAATACCTAACTCGAGCATACATTGTATCAAATGCCTAACTCTAGTACAAATTGTATCAAATACCTAACTCGAGCATACATTGTATCAAATGCCTAACTCGAGCATACATTGTATCAAATACCTAACTCGAGCATTCATTGTATCAAATGCCTAACTCTAGTACATATTGTATCAAATACCTAACTCTAGTACATATTGTATCAAATGCCTAACTCGAATGCAAATTGTATCAAATGCCTAACTCTAGTACATATTGTATCAAATACCTAACTCTAGTACAAATTGTATCAAATGCCTAACTCGAGCATACATTGTATCAAATGCCTAACTCTAGTACAAATTGTATCAAATACCTAACTCGAGCATTCATTGTATCAAATGCCTAACTCGAGCTTTCATGGTATCAAATGCCTAACTCTAGTACATATTGTATCAAATGCCTAACTCTAGTACATATTGTATCAAATGCCTAACTCTAGTACAAATTGTATCAAATGCCTACCTCTAGTACAAATTGTATCAAATACCTAACTCGAGCATTCATTGTATCAAATGCCTAACTCTAGTACAAATTGTATCAAATGCCTAACTCGAGCATACATTGTATCAAATGCCTAACTCTAGTACAAATTGTATCAAATACCTAACTCGAGCATTCATTGTATCAAATGCCTAACTCGAGCTTTCATGGTATCAAATGCCTAACTCTAGTACATATTGTATCAAATGCCTAACTCTAGTACATATTGTATCAAATGCCTAACTCTAGTACAAATTGTATCAAATGCCTACCTCTAGTACAAATTGTATCAAATACCTAACTCGAGCATTCATTGTATCAAATGCCTAACTCTAGTACAAATTGTATCAAATACCTAACTCTAGTACATATTGTATCAAATGCCTAAATCTAGTACATATTGTATCAAATACCTAACTCGAATACAAATTGTATCAAATGCCTAACTCTAGTACATATTGTATCAAATACCTAACTCGAGTACAAATTGTATCAAATGCCTAACTCGAGCATACATTGTTTCAAATGCCTAACTCGAGCACACATTGTTTCAAATACCTAACTCGAGCATACATTGTATCAAATGCCGAACTCGAGCATTCATTGTATCAAATGCCTAACTCTAGTACATATTGTATCAAATACCTAACTCTAGTACATATTGTATCAAATGCCTAACTCTAGTACAAATTGTATCAAATACCTAACTCGAGCATACATTGTATCAAATGCCGAACTCGAGCATTCATTGTATCAAATGCCTAACTCTAGTACTTATTGTATCAAATGCCTAACTCTAGTACATATTGTATCAAATGCCTAACTCGAGCATACATTGTATCAAATACCTAACTCGAGCATACATTGTATCAAATGCCTAACTCTAGTACAAATTGTATCAAATACCTAACTCGAGCATACATTGTATCAAATGCCTAACTCGAGCATACATTGTATCAAATACCTAACTCGAGCATTCATTGTATCAAATGCCTAACTCTAGTACATATTGTATCAAATACCTAACTCTAGTACATATTGTATCAAATGCCTAACTCTAGTACATATTGTATCAAATACCTAACTCTAGTACAAATTGTATCAAATGCCTAACTCGAGCATACATTGTATCAAATGCCTAACTCTAGTACAGATTGTATCAAATACCTAACTCGAGCATTCATTGTATCAAATGCCTAACTCGAGCTTTCATGGTATCAAATGCCTAACTCTAGTACATATTGTATCAAATGCCTAACTCTAGTACATATTGTATCAAATGCCTAACTCTAGTACAAATTGTATCAAATGCCTACCTCTAGTACAAATTGTATCAAATACCTAACTCGAGCATTCATTGTATCAAATGCCTAACTCTAGTACAAATTGTATCAAATGCCTAACTCGAGCATACATTGTATCAAATGCCTAACTCTAGTACAAATTGTATCAATACCTAACTCGAGCATTCATTGTATCAAATGCCTAACTCGAGCTTTCATGGTATCAAATGCCTAACTCTAGTACATATTGTATCAAATGCCTAACTCTAGTACATATTGTATCAAATGCCTAACTCTAGTACAAATTGTATCAAATGCCTACCTCTAGTACAAATTGTATCAAATACCTAACTCGAGCATTCATTGTATCAAATGCCTAACTCTAGTACAAATTGTATCAAATACCTAACTCTAGTACATATTGTATCAAATGCCTAAATCTAGTACATATTGTATCAAATACCTAACTCGAATACAAATTGTATCAAATGCCTAACTCTAGTACATATTGTATCAAATACCTAACTCTAGTACAAATTGTATCAAATGCCTAACTCTAGTACATATTGTATCAAATGCCTAAATCTAGTACATATTTTATCAAATACCTAACTCGAATACAAATTGTATCAAATGCCTAACTCTAGTACATATTGTATCAAATACCTAACTCGAATACAAATTGTATCAAATGCCTAACTCGAGCATACATTGTTTCAAATACCTAACTCGAGCATACATTGTTTCAAATGCCTAACTCGAGCACACATTGTATCAAACGCCTAACTCGATGACATCACGTCGTTGATGACACGGTAGTTTTCGCGAACGTCACTACAATATGTGGCTACGGCCATTGTCATAGTCGTTTGTACAAATAACACAAAAGAGTTCCATTCATCTTGCGTAACATTGACATCGTTGTTGATTTTTTTTGTCAAACATTGTAGCCTTGTAGCCTAGTCTATATAAAAATACAGGTAATTGTGCAATCATTACACAATAAAGATACACAAAATATATATCAAAGTGTTTATCTTTACACATCATAATACATGTGAATATTTGCGTTTGATATTTCGCCTTTTTTCGGTTGATCAGTTTTTGATAAATCAAATGATGAAAAATGTTTAAATGGACTTTCCGAGTTATTTAGACCTTAAGGATCTTTCAGGTAACATACATTTGGTATCACTTTTACCTCATTTGACGGTTTCACTTTTTGAAATTCGGTGTCGATATTAATGTTGCTCCATATCCGCATCACGTGACTTGACATAACGTACATATGAACTCAAAACGTCACTATCATGTGTGGGGTGAGGGGGGATGTCCCTGATAGGAAATGACAGAACTCAGGCTTGGAATGCGGAGTAGCAAAATAAAAAAAACAACAGTAATGGTGTCCTATTTGGTTAATGTAATAAATAAATTATATCTTGTCATATGATTATAGTTAAGTACCTGGGGATGTTGATACTATGAGTTCCAAAGGACTGCTTGACCCGGCCATGTTGATCGCTGTAATATTGACATGGTACTGAGATTTAGGGACTAAGTTGGTTAAGGTAGAGGAATAGATGTCTTTGTCCGTCAGGTCAACAGCAGTTGATATTAATGCTGAACAGCCTTTACATCCGTGGGTGATATTAAATATGTTGGCCATAGCTCCCTTGTCGCTAGGTGTCCATTTCACAGTGAGTGTTGATGACGTCACATCCGTAAATCCAACGATGTTTGGTGAGGTTGGCGACGCTGAAGTCATAATGGCATTTTACATCTGACTATCAATTTTACAATAGTAAATCAGTAGTAACGAGTGATTAATATAACTTGAAATAACTTGTTTCGCAGTTGTTGTAAAATAAATGAACGAAAAATGAAAATGTAGATAATTTTTACCAAGTCATATCAAATGAGCCGTGATGGAAGCAAGTGAAAAATTTTGTTGTGGGAGGACACCGGAAAATCCGGGTAAAAACCACGTGGTCAGGTAGATGACCCAATTCTTTTTACGTGCGATCTGGTATTCGGAAGCCTGATGCCTTTGATGACAAACCATCATTTCAACATACACGTATTTTTCATGACTTTACAACATACAAATTACAGTTGATACTCACTTAAAACTTTCAGGGTGATATTTGACGTCGTGGTACCGATGGCATTCATTGCAGAGCACGTGTATACCCCAGCATGGTCCTGTGTGATGACGGGGAGTCTGTAAACGCCGCTGTCGGATACCATCATGACTCCTCTTGTCCAAACCAGGGACGTGACGCGGGGGTTAGCAGAGGTAGTCACACATGTCAAGGTCACATTCGTTTGACTTTCAGTGATGAGATATGGGTCATCTCTCGGTTGTATCGAGATATCAGGGACATCTGATTCATACCAAATCGAATTTCTGACAAAAATGCTTGTATACATCCATACATTTCATACGTTTCCAGATATAATTTTCCCTGGCAGTTTTAAAATCTAAAACTTTATGTATAAATACTTCGAAATTAATATAGAGGATGTTGTACTCCTTTATGTATATGTATATATATATATATATGAAAAAAATACTACATCCCAAAATCCTAACGCATTCGGTGTTTGTAACGTCAATTTTGATTGGCTAGGAACGTTGCGTGGCAAATGCTCAAAGAAAGGAGTCCGTTAAAGAAGTTGAAAATCTTGTGCCTCGTGCTCCATTGATTAAGGGAATATGAAAGTTTATTATTCATATTTTTATCATTTAGTTATTTATTCTATTTTATTATATAAAGAAGAGTGATTATTCCATTCTTTCTTGGCTAACACCCAAACCGACACTTATAGATGAATAAATCTTTACCAATTTGTCTTGCAATACTTACGTTGTACGTTGAGTGCCGGACGTCGTATTGCCTGGGTCTGTTCGTCCGTGTTGAAGGCATAACACACCACTGTGTGTTCAGTCATGTTTCGTTTTGGCGTGAAGATCAGTTTACTTGTGGTAATGTAAAGGTCACCGGACACATTCTGTACTATGGATACACTTTTGGAAGTGTAGTTTACACCTCCAATGGACCATGAGACGCTGGCAAAGGGTCTACATGCGCTGGTCACACATGTCAGGATAGTGGACAGGTTCTCTGTGACGTCAACAGACTGACCAACGCGTGGTTGTAGTTCTACACTTGCCACGGGTACTGTAAATAAAGACAGGTATATAATATAAAGTTTTTTTCACAAATAAAGAATGATGATAAGTATACGGTACATGGTATTTCAGACTGATATTGCCTTCATTTGATTTATTTTCCAAAAAAATAATAATGATGTTAAATGGTAACTTCATCTCAATTTGGATAATTCAATATTCTATCCGACTGCAACCACAGGAGATCAGACCCCGGATGTTCAAAAGCTCCTCAGAGTGATTATTGAAAAATTCGAATGTTGCCACAGAATTAACGTTCCAAGTAACTTGCACATCAATCTGGCCTGTTAAACAAACCTATAGTTGTGATTAAAAATCCGTCTAGCTTTGTTAAACTCATGTGTCAAAATTTCCACAAACCACTGGTTATCACTAACTAGTCATTTGAACAACCGAGGCCAGACATCCGTGACTATTCCGTGACGTCATTACATCCATGACTGGTCAGAGTTTCCTGCTGAAAATTGAATTTGTCTTCTTGGAGGAAACATGGCATGAAAATGAGCGAAAATAACTAAAGTGAATAAAGCATGTACGTCTTATTTAGATATACATCAGCCCCGACCTTACAATATGGCTAGAGATGACATAATTTCATTTTCGACTCCTATCTGCTTCAGACATCAATATCACACGTATATAAATGTGGGTGGTTCTCCTTAACAATAATACATAAATGTGTTTTGTCAGGGAATATTAAGTGAATGTTTTACCAAGGAAAATATCACACAACACGTTTCGCGCATATTTTTTTATGAACTTCGCCGATTGGTCTAGAGGTGAAAGGTCTTTTCAGTTGGACCAATCAGAAAGCTTGTAACATGATTTTCTCCACCTGACCTCCAAACGATAATAGCTGGTATTGCGTCATATTAGTGTTTGAAGCAGTTTTGGATACATCAGTCAACAAAAGAAATAATTTGTTCTTTAAGCATATCTGAAGTTCAATACACCTAGATAATATTAAAATACTGGCGTGTTTCATATCTTGGTTTTTATAAACGATAACATACTGCTTGTGGAAGATACTTTTATTTATTTTGATATACTTCAATACTTGCTTATCAGATCCACTACCAGAAAGTCACTAAATTGTGCTATAGGATTGTTAATCACACATCTGAGTTCTGCATTGTTCCAATCCCTGGTCACATTAGCTACTGTCCAGGAGAACGATTTCCCGTCCGTTGTGCAGGAACACTGCTGGTCGCAGACTTTACCGCTGTCTTTAACACATTCATCTTCCGACAATTGTACAATCCCTAAAAGTGTATTGTTTTGGAAGTTGAAGGAAGCGTAGGTGGAGCTGTTCTTTGATATAGAACATGTCAGCGTCAATGACGAACCCTCTGTGACTGATGAAGGTGACGATGTCAATTTCACGTCGTTACCTTAAACAGTAAAACAGAAATGTGTTCACAACACTCAGTGCAAACAGTAGCTCCACATCTCAATGGACATACACGAGGAAAATATTCTTCTATAACAGACAAATGACGTACAAATTCATATCGTTAAGTTCGTTTCCCGTAAAGGCATTGAAAGGGGTGTGGCACATATGAAAATAACTCGCCCTTACCTGTAAAATAAGGACAAACAATGACAAATTCAGCTCGATTCATTTATAAAAATATAACGTAAAGCGGTAATGGGTTCACAACAGCAACTTAAAACAGGAATAACATCTGAATGTTAAATATAAGGTCGAGAAATATTCATACACATGATACAAATAGCGTTAATTGCGCTGAAAGAACTAGGGCGCGTGTGGCCTTTACTCAAACTTAAATGTCAATTAAGCGTGGGTTTTTTTTTTTTTTTTTTTTTGTCTTTTTCTTTTTGTCTACTTTTGTTTTTGGAACTTTATACCAAGTATATCAAAATCTTCTTATCCATGTACAAATAAAAAACTTTTAATATGATACACATTTTCTTCTAAGTGGTCGTCAAATGTTCTCTTTTGAACAAAACGTCCTAAGACAGAAGGATGGAGGTTGGGTCGGGGAACACGACTTCAGTTGCGATTTCGACACAAGGTACTAACAGATTCCAATTTTTAAACTTTATCTTATTCTTATAATCAAACTCTACTTCAATTCTGTTTGTGGTACAACTATGCGCTAATATAAAAATAATCGAAAATAGATATTTAACAACTAATTCATTCAGTTATAGCATTCTAGTATGAATGAAAAAAATAAAACAGAAACTTAATTGGTAGGAGGGATGGTTTGTTAATTAAGGGTTCATGAATCAGTGACTAATTTTCATTACATCAGATATAATCCGAAAATGATAGCTTCACATCTGCTGTTAAGAAATCTAACGGATTAATAGTATAATATCGTATGTTTGATAATCATGGACGAATGTTACCACATGCGAAAGCAACACATATTTCACATTACGCCACCTTCGACAATGTCTTCACCAAGTATATGCGCTTAAAGGTTTCCAAAGCGGTACAGTGCTCTATTTTCGTTAACAACATGACAATTCTTTAAAAAAAATTTGCACTCAGTAAAACCCTGTATTGTGATTTACGGTATCGAACAACGACTTACTAATTACTCTCTTAATAGCACAATACACAATGACAAACGTAACGCTTCGTGACAAAATTTGAAACATACATTAGCACCTCCTACAACTAATTATAATAAAGACATCAACTAGAACGAAGGAAGACGAGGGAAGAAAAGACAGAAAATGGCGTAATTTCCCGTCTACTCATTTTCGGCACACATCAGCAGTCAAACTTATCGCTATACCATCCGACAGAGTGAAAAGAAGGGCGGTAACTCTGGAATATCAATCCTAGGTTGTCCAATTATTGGTTTCAAACGTTTCTTATTGTTTTTTGAAAATAGTACGACCTGTGGTAAATCTCTGAAGACTCTTGAAAAGACGAGTCATCTGCAGAGTCAAGCATATTTTCAATTTGTCAACAATGTCATTTTTTTAGAAAACGAAAAACAAAATGGGACAGGGACCAATCCTTGTCCAGAACCGCAAAAGATTTTACATAAATTTACATGAATAAACTTTTACATAAATAACAGAATGTTGACAGTTTGTCTGATAAGTGGATTACCAGGACAGCGAATTTCTCTTAATAGCATCCTTCAATACTAAATAATCATCCATAACGACAAGTTTATCCTTTGTCAAATGTCCAACGAAAGTTATAAAACAAGAACACAAGAATCCTCTTTCCTTTCAATATCAAAAGTGACATTATGAATAAATTAGATCAAATGGTAAGTTGTCGAATGACCTGGGACCATTTATTGGTTAATTGACATAAACAAACAAACAAAACAAGAAAAAAGCGGCATGAAATTTGCTTAAATGTTGACAAAACAATTCTTCTCATTACTTAAGAAACACACATTAATAATGAGATCACACGTGGTCTGTAATCTGACGGAAAATATGGATCGACTTAAATTAAATAAAATTAGAGAACACATAATCGTTCAGAGATTGTGATAAGTGGTTTTTATCCTGAACAGGCGGTTGTAGAAAAATTGATATGATATTAAGCGGGTTCTATCTTTATCTGTATACATAAACATTTCATTGTGTCATTTGATAATGTGATATTAAGCGGATTATTATACATGCACATAAAACATTTTTTACATCTATGTCATGAGGAAAAGTTTTATATCACTGATAGCTAACCTCTAGATAATATATATATAACATACCCATATTGATTATGTTTACTTGTTAGTAAAGCTGGCTTTACACCGTATTAAAAAAACAAAAAATATACAATGACATGCATTTGTATTCCACAATTATTACGAGAACAATAACTATTACGTACCTGTAGAGGTGTTGACAATCAGAAGGAATAGAAACAGACGTGACACGATCAACGCCATACTGACTTCCTAGGGTTTTCAACTTCCATGCCTGGATATTCGTCAATGTTACTTCAAAGCATTGTCAGCTTAACGTTGGCGTCTTTTACATGGTTGGTATGGCGACAATGCTTCCCGTCCTTTATGTACATTTATGTCGGGAACGTAATGGAACGTTCAAACGTTCTGACCGCGGTCAGGTAAATTTTTGATGACGTTCATGCTATGGTGAACCTTTTTTTCAAACACCTTTATCAATAACTCGCTGAGAGGAATCTTACGTCAGTGACATATTGCAATTTAACGACCCAAAGGTAGTATATACATTTCAAGCAGAGAAGAGTCTTGTTTCTAAAAACCCAGCGATTCCCCATACTTCACCGCCGGTAAAACATCACAGACGACACCCTATCCTCTGTCACTTCAAATAACAGAATGCCTTATTCCTTCTCCTCAAAGGCCTAAGTGTGAAAACAAAACACGTATAGACAATTTAGAAGGGAAAATAAAGGGAGATGTTTTGAAAACAGTAAACTCTCGTTTCGATTCTAAAAAAGAATCGGATTTATCAGTTGACCTGGGCAACATGCAGAGTATGAACATCGAGTATCAATCATCTGGATGGAATCGATATAAGGACAATTAGAATACGTCCGTTACTAGGGAGACGGGACTTAATTGTAATCAACCTGAATGCGCCATAGAAAATAGCATAATGTTCAAATGAAATCAACAATTTCGTCAGTGATGGTTAAAAATTGTTTCGGCATAATTTTCACTGAGTAGGAATCATAATTTTATATAAATATCTTACATACTAAATTCCAAACATGTCCTGTTTTGATCCTGGTGAGGACATATCTCGATAAACACTTGAACAAACAAAC